AGATTGTGGAGGACACAGCATGCCAGGATGATCATGCACACCTTCTGAGGAGAATAAAGTAGTTTGCCACCGGCTGTATCCGATCCAAACACATCCAACGGCCCTTAAGCACGCCAGAAGTGCGCTCTACGGCGCGTGTGTGGGCGTGTATGTTATTATAGCGCACCTCTTGAGGGGTTTCAGGGTTTGCGTATGGTGTCATCAGCCATGTTTTAAGGCCATATACCCGGTCACCAAAACAATATAACATTTTAGCATTAACAAAATAGAGACTTACTAAAAATACTAACTAAAAACAATTGAAATAAAAGACCAGAACAAAAGATGCTCACCAACAAGCCATCCACTTCTCACAGCCCCTGCCTCCAAACGCATTCCCACTATACTGTTTTGCAAAATAAATGAGTCGTGGGTGCCTCCTGGCCAGCGGGCCACAGCGTTAAGGATATGGCAGTCGGCATTACAGATCATCTGCACTAATGGAGTGATATTTTTTTCTGTTCATGTTGTTAATATTTTAATTGTCACAATGATGAGGGTGAAAGTGTGTCAATTTCATGGTTATTTAATACATTTGGCCAATATATTAGTAAATTAATGATTTAAAAAATGTTAATTAAATCTCTTTTTAATGAATGTGGTTTTATAGACTGCATGTACGTAAAAGGTATGTGTTTGCATTTGCTAAGTCAGTTCGGCCTTCCTCATTTGTGCGTACGCATGGTCTGAGGCAGTTCTAAATTTGTTCGCAGAGTAAGAACAAATTCGGGTAAGAAAATATTGATGAATCCCGGATTTGTGCGTCAAACGATCATACGCACAGTTTAAGCACAGATTTGTGCGTATGCACTGTTTGTGAATGAGGCCCATTGTTTTTACATTTAAAAATAAGATCAAATAGGGACAAAAACATGATAACACTTCCACATTGATAAATCAATCTGAGTCCCAAAGATGAAATTGAATGAGTACAAAATTAAACTGTCCAAACATTTATATTAATGTTTGGGAACATTACATTTTGAACAATGAAAGGAGTTTAGATACTGGCTTTGAACAGAAGTAAAACATTTTAAATTTCGGACAATTATTAAAAGAACAATCAGAAAATCGGTTGGACAGACCCGTGGAGGATCTCATACAAGACTCAGCCTCCTCATCAGGTCAACTTATGACATGCTTCCCTGTCCTCGGAACTTCCTCAGGTTGTTCTGGAGCAAGAAATGCAGGTTGTTCTGCAGCACTCTTAACCCATGCCTCCAGCACATTTTGCCAGGCTGCAGACTGCACTTTATTTGTTTATTATTTATTTCAGTATCACCATTAAAAATATGCAGGTGTGCCTCTAGTCTTTCTGCTGTCCTGAAAATAGAAATATAACACAAGCATTTGATTAGAAAGTAGCCTACAGACAACTTAAAGGCCCAGACACACCAAGCCAATGTTGGAGAACTATGACAGCCCCCTGCTGTCTCCCCTCATGTCGCCATGTTTTGGCCCAAAAGTTGCACACGAACACACCAAACCGACAGCCAACAAGCTTGTATGTTCTGTGCCTGGGTGAGAGGAAATACCCCTCTGTACCAGCAGACGGTGGTCATCTGTTACCTCATTTAAAAAATGAAGCCCCAAGAACATCTGACGCTAGTTAGCCAGTTAGCATATTAACAACACGATCCAATGCTGAAAGAACAGAGCATATTTATCATGCACCAGTGAACCATGACACGAAAAAAATCAGGTCATTTTGACCTCAATGTAAAATAACTAAAATAAACCCACAGTCCAACCTATTTTTAATTCTGTCTTTCAAAACAAAAGAACAAAAGACCTTGGTCTCAGTGAACAATAAATGGTGAATAACTGTAATACAAATTTCAAATTTCCAGTTCAAACAGTAACATAAATGAACGCTGTTGCCATAGAATTCATGAACACTGCACACTAGAGGCAGTTATAGCACACAATTTGGTTCATGCTGTGCCCAGGGCATACTGGCATGTGACAAGAGGAGCAAACATTTGCTGCCTTCCTGTCTGTAATTGTGGAGAAGAGGCAGCACCTTTTCCGAATAGATTATCCAACTGAATGTTGGACGTCCATAGCAGAAGTTGGAGTTTTCCTCACTCCCATGATGGCCATTGCTGCGCGGATTGGGGTGTGGCTGCATCTGTAGCCAATATGCAGTATTCTCCACTTGAGCTTCAGGTGCATTTTTAGTGTCACTGTATTCAGAAGCCTTGAATCATCACTCTCTTCAGAACTCTCCTCATTTAGAATTTGTCTCAAAACTTCAGCAGCAGTAAATCTGGCTAATCTTGATTTGCTTGCCATTGTTGTCTAAAAAACAAACACGGATGTCTAGATGTATTCTAGATTTAATACAGCCAAACTTCCTGGAGCTCTGAGAAACAGAGCAAATCTCAAATCCTTCTTGCATACCCCCAACCCCCCCTCTGCACCTGCAAAAATGTATATGGTAAATGGACCTGCATTTGTATAGCGCCTTTCTAGTCATCCAACCACTCAAAGTTTACACTATGAGTCAGAAGCCCCTTTTACACTGCCAGATTTTCCGCAAATGTTGGGCCGTTTTGCCGGCAAGCTGCGAGTGTTTAGACACACAGAGCCGGATTGGCGAGTTGATCCAAGGTGCCCAATTTTCCGCCTCGTAGGGTAGTCATATTGTCGGAACCCTTTTAGTTTAATAAAACTTTGATTTTGAACTTTGATTCCCGAGTTGTGCATTTGGGTTCAGGTCCTTTGTTTGGTTGTGACATAGGTGCTTTATTCAATCATTCCAATTTTCTGACTTTGTCAGTCATGTTGTTCCTAATGACTTCATATCGTTTTGTGTTTCTGTTGTAATTTGTGCTTTTTAAAAACACAAATATATTGGGGACCCCGGGGACCCCAGTCAAAAGCCCTCATTTTCGCCTGTGCAGTTTTAATAGTTTTAATAACTGAGTTCATGTTTGCCATGGGTCCTTATTTAAAGTATTACGCACTATCGGGGGGGTTAGGATACTAACTCCCCCATTTTGGAGGAGACAGCAATGAAGACAGGAGACCCAAATTTCCTCATGTGCTCTCCTGAAGACTGTAAATCTTGCTCTTCCTAAGGTAAGATGATGTTCAAGATCAGAAATACAATGCATAAATTCATAATAAAGTGTTTCATGACTATCAGTTTAATTATTTATGTTCTATTATTCAAGATAAGACTATAGAATAGTGTCTCATGACTCATACATGTGATTGATATACAGTTAGAGCATGATCAGGACATGGTCAGAGTGTGGGGGAAAAAGCAAATGTGGGGGCGGCTGTGGCTCAGAGTTAGAGCAGGTCGTCCACCAATCAGAAGATCAGTGGTTCCATCCCTGGCTCCTCCAGTCTGCATGTCGAAGTATCCTTGAGCAAGATACTGAACACCAAATTGCTCCCGATGATGCTTCCATCGGTGTGTGAGTGTGTTAAAAAAAACAAAAACAAACTGAGTAGCATTTGGCACCTCGTACGGTAGCCTCGGCCACCAGTATATGTGTGAATGGGTGAATGTAGCCCTTTTTAGATAGGAATTGTGCAAATTTGCAGGAAAGCCCAATCAATCTTTTTTCAGCATTAGCAGTATAATAACAAAATCGGAGTGCGGCAAAATGCCGCCCACCTACTTTTGTTTATACAGAATGAGCCTTTTTCGGGGCAATGGGGGGCGTGAGCAATTAACAAAACACGTAGCTCAGCGTGTGACGTAACCAGTGATGTAGGAAGAAAGCCGCGGCGAGTCAGTCCTTCGGCAATTCTCTTGTAAGTTGGCCCGTTCCTCACCGTTCCTGTCATCTGACGGTTAATGGCCTCTGTAAAGTACTAGCTGCTCACTAATTCCTGCTATCAGCTGTTTCCTGTTTATCCACTGCCAGTGGCTCACACGTGCAGTGTCATCAACAGCTCCTTGCAGTATTCTTTTGCCACTGAGAAGATGGGGGGCGACAAATCCCAGGGGATCGTATATAGATGCAACAGTGGATAATATTCCACGTCGTGTGGAAGGTTGGTCTTTCAGTGTGATGCTAAAAGTGAAGCAATCTCTTTCTATGCTCCAGTAGATACCTAGTGCTCTCTCTTTTGGTGTCTCACTGAGAGCAAGTTCCTTTGTTTTGATGTCTGTTGCATGCTCTGATGCCGGTATACTGTTTAAAACATCACTGTTGTTTGATACAAACTTATGTAGCCGGAGACCGCACTTAGCACATAGCCCACAAGCCTCTTGTGCCAGCTGTATGGCTCTTTCCACTGTCTCTGCGCTTGTGACTCCATCATCCACATAGAAGTCCCTGGCAACGAACTGGGCACCTAGTGGACATGCAAGGCTGTTCTCTTTAGCCAGGTGTTTTAACCCATAGTTTGCACATCCTGGGGAAGAAACTGCACCAAAGAGGTGTACTGTCATCCTGTACTCTTGTCGTTGTGTGCTTAAGTCTCCATTTTTCCACCATAAGAAGCGGAGGAAGTTATGATCTCTCTGTTGGACTTTAAACTGATGGAACATTTTTTCTATATCACATGTTAAGGCTATTTGATGCTGCCAAAAGCATACAAGGACACCTGTCAGATTGTTTGTCATATCTGGTCCAGACAGAAGGTGCTCATTAAGGCTGGTTCCTTTAAGCTTGGCTGAGCAATCAAAGACAACACGTAAATTTTCTGGTTTCTTTGGGTGATAAATGCCATGGTGTGGTATATACCATTTCTCACCAGGAAGTCCGTCATCCTGAGCTTCCTCCACATCACCTCTTTCGATGATGTCATTCATGTACTTAACATAATCTTCCTTGTATTTCTTATTGTAGCAGTATGAGCGTTTTGTATTGTTTTTCCCCTCATTCTTTTATTTTTGTTTACATTTGTTACCATGGTTTCCGTTTCTCATTTCCGCCAATCAGTGAGATGTACCGGTACAAAAGCGGTAGTCTGCCCATCGGTTCTTCCTCTGTGCTCCCGTCGTTACCCGTGTCACTTCCGGGTCAGAGGTTGTGTGCCGACAGGTATGGCCGCACGCTACTTCACCTCATTGGTTGTTTCGTTTGGTCAGTGTGCTGAATGTATTTGTTGTGTTGTAGGGCGACTGTTTGTGTGGTGCTCCGTGCTCCCTGTGTGTGCTGCTTTGGTTGTTTGGCAGTGGTAAGTGTCATCTCTCTGTACGTTATGGTTGGTGCTACTAGGTGGCTAATATTAGTGTGGTCACAGGTAAATGCTGGAAGCTGCCTGGAGTCCTCTCTCCCTCCCTCCTCTCCTGAGTGTGTGAGAGTCTGTTGCTGCTAAAACGGTATGTATACAGTAGCATGCTACCACATCATTTTTAGTGTATTTAGCAAATGCTAATGATTCTTTTCCTCAATCAGGTGTTATTGTAGCCACCTTACTGGAATTGCTGCTGCTTTGTTTTCACTGCCATTTGTATCTGCTGCTGCTTGCCTTCATGGTGCTCCCCTGCAGCCGTCAGAAGCTTCGCAGCGTCACTTCCATCAAAATATACGCTGGGTGTCCTGTCTGCACGTCCTGTGCAGGACGATTGTTCGGCCGCACGCTGCGGGCCAGGCACGATTTCTTTTACCTGGGACTGGTCCCCCTTATATAGAGTGAATGAGTGTGTGAACGCGTGATTGAGTGTGTGAAAGTTTGGGTTCTTTCTTATTACTTTGTGGAATAACGTCTATGAGTTCAGTCGTATATTTTGTTTGGGTTGAACCTGGATTTATTTGTTTATGTAATATTATTTGTTAATTCAGTTAATTGAGATTTGTTTTGTAAATTAGGTAATTGTTTGAGTTTTGTTTTCTTGAGCTTTCTTTTCTTTTGGTATAATGGGGCAGTTATTAGTTGATATATTGTTTGTTTAAGCCTTAGACCTGCCCATTACTTATAGTTTTGTTAGACTCCCCCCACTAATTTGTTTTATCTTCCCCCTTTTCAGTTGCTGAAGGCCGGTGGTGGTGGTGTCCCCTGGGAGTGGGCTTTTCTTCACTGAGAGTGTGTATCTGCCACGTTCACCGGGCATACGTGGCAGACACACACTCTCAGTGAAGAAAAGCCCACTTATACGTGGCATACGTGGGCTTTTCTTCACTGAGAGTGTGTGTCTGCCACGTATGCCTGGTGATTTAAGTTTGTTTCTTTTTTTTTTTTTTGGTGGATCCCCCTCTGCACTAGCCCTCGTCCATCCACCGTGGCCTCAGCCCTGATTAGGTTTGTTCCCCTTTTTTTGGTGAGAATGAGTTTAATTGGTTATCTTTTTTTAGAACAAAAATGATAATTTAATAAAAACTGCATTTTAAACGTTGAACCGCGTCTCATGCCCTCTGAGTAACCACAAACCTGTGTGCCTTGTGTCCAATAGAGTAAGTCCCTGGGTGAAATTCCCAGAGTGGCATTGTCGAGTTTTCCTTTTTTGGTAATATTAATTGTATAGCCTACCCGTTTGACCTCCTCCTCCTTGCCACATTATCTCTGGAGAATTTCCTCTTGAGGTGGCTGAGTCGGACCTCTGCGAGCTGTCGATTGTCAGGCATGTGTGGCCTTTCCTTAAAGGGCAACGGCATTTCATAATGTCTTTGTTCATTTTTTTTATGCCCTCCTTAAGTTTGTAAAAGAAGATGAGATCCTCCTGAGACACAGTTTTATCGTTTCCACTGACATCTCTGAAGTCACTTTCTAGTGCACGAATTGCATCCATGGGAGTTACTGGGGGGATCTCTTTTACAACAACACGATGACAGAGGCTGTTCATCATACCTGTTACAAGGCAAGGTGCCACACTGCCAACGATGCTCCATCCAAGATCTGTTTGAACAGCATAAGGCTCATCATCTTTGCCTGGTATCACTTGTCTAGGTGCTAATGCTCTGGGACAGTTATAACCTATCAAGAGACCTACTTCACAATTGATTGGTGATAGGTGGCTCCAGCATTTGGCTGTTTCACAGGTTGGTATGTGCTCACGATTTACAGGTATCCAGTCTTTTGTGTATGCAGGAGGGAGAGGGATGCGTGTTGCAGAGCTGTAACCCCTCACACGGACACCGGACACTTTTCTGCTGTTTACCACTGCGTTCTCTCCCATCATGGTGGTTAGTTTAATTTCACTGGACAAATGTCCACTTGCAGTTCATGACTCACCTCTTGATCGATGAAGGCTGTGTCACTTTGAGTGTCTAATAATGCATAGACAAGTTTTTCTTTGTAGGGGTTCACAGCAGATGACACCCATACTGGAACAATCATTGATGTATTAGGAGATTGTCCGTCCTTGGCGACATTAAGTGACATGGCAGCTGTAGTCTCATGTACTCTCAGATGTGTCATTTTGTGTTGTATTTTCCATACTCACATGCCTTTCTCTTTTAACGTCTAGGATGTAGTTGTCATCGTGAAGGCAGGTTGGGTGCCTTCTTGTGCAAGTGTCACAGATGAGGCGGTGTCGACAAACTTTTACACTGTGACCTTGTTTCAAACAGCCATAACACAGTTTGTTGCCCTTAACCCTATGGGCCCTAGGCCTTTTTGGGGTATTTTTACTGTCTTTACTTTTAAGCTCATATCACAGTTGTTGGGATTCACAGGACCACAGATGATTTATCATTTGGTAAAATCATCACTGATTTCAAGGCTTTTTCCTCTGCATGCTCTTTGTCTTCAAACAAAGAGAGCTAAGTGGCACCCATCTCCACGGGAGGTCTCACCTCACACCTCAGTGAGACTCAAGTCCCAAAACTTGATTGGACAAGACCTTTTACAGTGACATGTGACTCTGTGATGTCACAGGCATCGGTACAAGGTCTGTTCCCTCCAGGCTTTCTTTCTCTTCTTGCTCCAGCTGCTGTAGCAGCTGCACCCCTCTTTCCAGCTGGGCCTGGGACAGCAGAGACCCAAACCCCTGCTCCATAGCCCAAACCACTAAAGGGAGGACAACTGATCACAGACTCTCTGACCTGAAACACAAGGTTTGCAACTAGCTTTCCAGCAACAAGGAACTAAGTGAGTTAGCACCCAGCATCTAACTCTGCAAGGACCCCGAGCGACTGGCTTCCTCGGATCAGAACCTTTGGAACAAAGGACACAACAAAGACTGCAGCTGAAACCACACCTTCCCAGCCTTCTTCTGCCGGCTAACAAAGCAGCACACCACCAAGTGACTCTTTCTTCCATCCATTCAAGGATCGGTAATGTAACAACTGGGCATAGCTTATCACAGCTTTACAGGCTAAGCAAGACTATTTAATTTGTTGTATGTGCTTTGATGCTGTTTACTGAGTTATTGTTGTGATAGATTGCAGTTAGGTCATCGATTAGTTGGCTTCGCCAAAGCTAAGTGTTTAGTTTGCTAATACTGTTCACAAACAGATTCTTGCACACAACTAAACAATCTCTGCACTAATCCAGACCGTTTGCGACACATATCACATTCACATAGACTCATTAACAAATAGGCTTTTAACAGAGCTACACCCAAACAGGCATCTCCAAGTTCCCGCTTCTTTTCCTTTGTCTTTGTCCTGACCACATGGTCAGACCAATACCTCCCCCCTGAAGCCAGCCTTGATTCGGCCATTTTGGTAGTTCTCTGTTGTCAGCCATTTTGTTTTGTAGGCCAAACGGCTACTTGATCACCACACCCGCCTGTCTTTCTTTCTCTTCTTTCTCTCTCACACACACACACAACACACATATACACACCAAGCGTGTATATAGTTAGAATTTGTGTGTTTTGGTTTGCTTTGCTAATTTGTGAATAAATATAATTCTTTGGAATCATACCTGCTGTCTGTTTAATGTTGCACAAGGGTGAATGAATAGTCAACCTCTGCTGCGTCAAGAACTCCAAAATCCTTCAGGCATTACCGTTAAATTTGGTTGTTGTCATTAATTTAATTATTAATCAAACTCCAAATTAATAGTTTAGCCTATTTTATGAGACTGATATCTTTAACTGGCTATCATTTTTCCCTTTACAGGAATGGTGCCCCACGAGGTGATTTAATGTTAATTAAGTCACATTATTTAACATAATTAATTATTAATAATAATTATTAATTATTTCCGATAGCCAATTTAACCCCAACATATTTGGTGCCTCCGTGTGAAGCCTAAGGTGTTGATCCCAACATATTTGGTGCCACCGTGTGAGGTAAATATATGTTGATTCCCAACACAGTCATTCTATAGGCTACATACACATGTTATATCTTGTTGTTTTCAGGACAATCTGGGCTAACCAGATCTGCCATCATAACATGTCCTTCTATGTGCCTGTATTTTATATTAATTTTTATATCAATGAAAAAAACAAATCGTATGACTAAATTCTTATATTTTGACATGTATCTCACCATAGCAAGTTGGAAAATGACATATTCTGCCATATCTGAAGAGGAGAGACTCTCTGGAATCTGGCAATATAAGAACCATGATGGTGGGACATTCTGTCACTTCACAGTTGTCCAAAACATGTGGTTTGTGCCAGGCGGACATGATTGCCAGTATTTTTTCATTATTGCAAGAAATTCCATTGAATCATTCACAAGTCAAAAATGTGTTTTATCTGAAAGAAACATGCAATATTTACATCTAAGATAACAGAAAAATAGTCAACCAAGTGCAATGATGTCCTCCAAGATAATATTTGTTTTTCAGTTTCAGTTATATATTGGGGGGACATTTTGGGCATTGGTGGGGGGGCACGTGTCCCCCTCAATGTATATGGTGACTACGGCCCTGTCAGCATGCATTATTAGACTACAGTTGTCTGGGTGCGCAAAGGTGAAGTGGCTGGTCTTGTCATACAAAGTTTGATGGAGTGTCAACTGGACAATATGGAGATATTTGCATCTTGAAAGCCGGACTACAAATGTGGATAGACAGGGAGAAACACACGCAAGCCTAAGACATGGTAAGATACAATATTCCTCACTATATGAAGTGATTGATAACAAGATCTGTATAATGGGTTGTAAAGAAATTCGTCAGGTTTTTATTTTGTAGACACTTGATCTGTATTTATAGCATGATGGGATGACAGCACAATGATGTGTGCGGTATCCTCAGAAAGCTCTGCTCCTGCGCTTTCATGTGATATGTGTGGCATTTCTGTGCGACCCTGCATTAGCGAGAAATCCATCCAAGAGTAATGTGTGCAAAGCTGTATGAAAGCTCTGTTATACATAATTTTAGTGTAACTTTATAATTTTCGCTGTGAAAACATTGGACTACCGACAAGTGCTTGGTCTTCTCAGAAAGCTACAATCCCACTGTTTCACGTGATATGCGTGGCTTCTCCCTATGACGAAGGGTTGCGGAGAAAATCCATAGAGAAGAACAGGTGTGAATTTGGACGCACTACGCGTCGTTCGGACCCATAGGGTTAACATATGTCCTTCTATCCTCCAGTGACCTTTTCATGAGGTTTGGACATTTGTGAAGCTGATGTGTGTTTTGGCACAACATGCATGGAGATCCCACATTTGCCCTGATTAGTATTTGCTTGTCACATTGTACAGCTGTTTCTATGCTGAAGACACTTGCCTTGTTCCTTCTGATGTCCT